AAAAAAAATGTTCAAGAAAAGCAATTATTTAACATGTGAAAATTGTAGAAATGTGAAGAAGAATATAAGATATGGAGTTGTACTGACTAGTTTCACCAGTTCATAGGCATTGTGCTCCAAAATGTAGATGCCTCAAAGGTAAGCTGTGGTAGCTTATGTTCAGCCTGGTACTTCTGTATGTTGGGCACAGCAAGAGACTGCTGTGAGGCAAACATGTCTGAGCTGGGGACTGTGGAAAAGACCTTCAGTTAATGTAAATAAGAAGCTGAAATAAATACAACTATGACATTTTATAATAAGTATTTTGAGACATTTTTTTTTTTCTCTGTTAATACTGTCTGACAGCAGGTGCTCCCTACTTTAAGTGCTTTAGATGGGCAACTCTTCAGTTCTTTCTGTTTTTAAGTTCACTCAACATCTTCCAAAGCTAGCCCACAGTCCATGTTTCCTTTTATTAAACAATAACAACAAACTGCATAGGTATGCTGTGTGCTGTGTGATTAGCCTGCAGCCTTATGAGGAAGAGAATTGTATTCAATTGTAGTAATTTATATTGTGTCAGCACACTGAATAACCATAACTTGAGGAGTTTGTAAGGCCTTGCTCTTCTTCTTATGCCTTAGAATTTCTTTTGACATTCTTTTGACATTTCTGCCTTCAATAATCAGTCTTGTCCAGAGCCCCATGAATTCAACAGTGTGGTGCAGACAACTGAGTACATATTTGTGGAAATGACTTACAACTTACAAAATGGAGGCTCTTTAGCTGTAGTTACAAAATATATCATTTGAATTTCTGTATGAAATTCACAGAGTCCAGCTCCCAATAAATCAGTTTGGTTTTCCATTTTCTTCCAAATAACCTTTGATGAGGTCACCCAAAAAGAGATCAACAACATTTTTTCTTGCAAGTATGTGCCTCTGCTGTTGCAATGGGAATTATGAGATGAGGTATCCCTCAAAGATAATTTGAACATGGTATTTCTTGTTTATTTTCCAATAAACTATGCCTTGGAAAAAGACTTCTTGGCCAAAGCCAAAACTGAATAGTAAATTATATTTTTTCCTTTATGAGATGTACATGCTGGTCATGTGTCGAAGGAGGACCTGGGATTTGTAAAAGAACATTTGCAATATTATACTGCAAAGTTTGAGAAGAGTCCATTAAGCAAATTGGGAATCTTAAATATGGAGGAAGTATTATGTTCAAGGCTTCAGTGCTTGTTATGATTAGAGTGCTCTTTGTGGGAGATTTGTTAAAATTTCTTCATCCTGGGTACCTGCCAAACTTCAGGCTTTAATGCTCTGAGTCACAGAAGCAGGGACTGACTGCTCTCACAGCTTGTTGACTTGCCAGGAGGTTGATGCAGGAGGTAGTGTGCAAGTAGGAAAGACAAGAGACAAGAAAAATAATCTCAGAGTTCTGTGATAAAACTTTTATTTAACAGAAATATAATTTTTTTTTGTTTTTGTTTTCATCTATTTATCAAACCTGCTGACAAAACCAGGATATTTTAGAAATGTGATGTCTTTTTTTGTTTGTTTGTTTCAGGTGATGATAGAAAGAACATGTAGATGCTTGGTTTAACATGCTACAAAAATGAGGATAAACGTGGTACTGAACGTAGTTAAATATAATATCCATCTGTGATAACTGTCAAGTTAAATTAGTAATTTAGACACAGAAAATAACATCTTTCAACTTCTTTTATTTGTTAACCACTAGAAATTTCCAGTAGTGGATCTCTGTAAAAATGATTTAAACTTGCTGAAAATCAGCTAGACTTTCTTGATCATGTTTTATGGATCCTGACTGTACAACCCCGACTTTCCTTCTGAAAATGATTAGATAAGGACAAATTGCATACACAGTAGGAAATAACGGCATTTATAAGAACCATTTAACCAGGTCAGATCAGTGGAATCAAGTATTCATCTTCTCTCAGAGTCAGCATATGAGGGGGCTAATACACTCCAAAAAATCTCATATGGTAAATCTGTTGGGTTTTGATAGTGTATTCAAAAGTTACTACCCTACTGATAGTGTATATGAAAACCACATTCAAGGCAAAAGAAATGACTGGAATGTATCCACCTTGGATATTTTAACATTCACAGATTTTCTTCTGGGATAGGAGGACTGAAGCTGCAGGGGGCTCACTCCATCGGTCTCACATCATCTGTAATTGAACATGCAAGTGCTCTGAGTGAGTTGAAGACAAAGACATATATAGCCTAAATTGCTTTCAGTGCTGGGCTTACTTTTACCCTGGCATATACCGCCTGTCCTTATATATCATTTGATGTCATCTTGCTTGAGAGTTACAGTGGAAAGTATGATTGAGTGACCTCTCAGTGATAACTCTTTGCTTTTTGTGTTTCATGTATGCTTGTGTCTGATGAACAACAACAACATGAGGTTCAGACATAGCCCTAGGACGCTTGTACAGCTCCAGCTATCTGTCAAGCTTGCACCCAAATTATTCTGCATATGATTTTATTTGTGTTTATTGCCATGTTCAGGCTCAAATGTGGTTGTATGCAACTGTGTAGGATGGTCTTGATTTGTGGCTGCTGATTCTCATGTACCGAATCTCAAGTAAGAAATTAGTGAGAGTTTGTGTGTAAATGGGATCCTATAAGGCTCCTTGTGATCCTTTGTGGAGGGATTCATAAGTCTGGGGAAGAAACAAGACCATTAACATAAATTTTGACCTCATCCAGAATGTAGACTGGAGATCCTGACCACATCTGTATCTACTCCATAAATGAAGTTTGATCTATAACTATGGTACAGGCATGGGGATGAACATCACTAAGGGTAATAGCTTTTTATTTTGGTGGGCAGAGAGTTAATCTATGATAAAAGGGTTATGTCCAGAAAGAAGCAGGAAATAAGCTCAAGCACTAGACCCCAGGCCATTATTTACAGATAGCTGTTAATTTGTTTTCTGGCTCTGCTCCAACTGCCTCTCTCCTAGACTGCACCTAAACATGGCTGGGGTGAGAGTATATCATAGGGACTGTTCCCCACAGTCAGTACCCCTGAAACTGCAATAAATGTCTTTCTTTATCCTGTTCAGTCCTCCACCTCTGTCCGAAAAGCCTGTCACCATCAAACATCTCTTGCTAGAGCCATGATATGCAAAACAATAACCACAGCACTCTCGTCTCAGATATTTTGAATGGAGAAAAAAGAAAGAATGATAAATTTCTCTTAACAATCCATAGCCCAGCACTCTACCTCCATACTTCATAGTCCCAGAGAGCTGTGAGTGACATGCTGTAGTGCAATGTGCTTGTCGATCTATGCCACCAGACCTCACCAGCCACAGGAGTCTGTCCTACCAACTTCTGCCTCTGACAGCTTCCTGCTGGAAGTATCCTTGTGCTTCTTTAGTCTCTGATGAGAAACAGCACAGTAGGGAAAATACTGGGCTAGCTCTTGGACTATTGTGGTGAGTACCCTTCAGCTGCTCATGGTACAGAAGTGGCTTTGCTGCTGATGAAACTCTGAGGTCTTTACACAAACCATATTTGCTGTTCATGGCATCTGCATTATCTGCAGACCTCTTTCATGGGGGCTAAGCCCCCGAGGAGCATGTACCAGAGGAGCTGGTGGGATAAATTGGTGTTCTCCTGTGCTGAATAAAATATTCCAGAGTCTATTTGCGCTGGCTGCCTGCCTTCCCACGTGTTTTGCACTTGAAGGAGAGAGAAGCCTCCAAAAATCCTCTCAAAGCCCAAGAGTTGTCATAATCTTTTTAATACCCCTGAACTGAAGTGTTTGCTCCCTTGCCTGCCTGCCTGCTGCTGTAAAAATCCAAAGCATTTGTAATCCAGACTTTATTTCCTGTTGGGCTAGAAGTTTTAAGATAGCCTGACATGAGGCTAAATAGCAATAAATAAGGTTATGGAAGGTTATGTGGTATTTCAGAAGAGAGGAAGGGCAGTGATGTTCACAGATGTTATTGATTTTATTTTATTTATGTATTGTGGAGAATCAAATAAAAGTAGAGCAGAAGCAACTTGCTAGTTAAATAGAAAATTATATCTATCTAACCATCTGTTTCTATAATACTATAAATGAGTTACAGTGAATCTGGAGGAATCTTTTCTTCAGTGAAGCTATGCAGCAATTTGGTCTTTTTCTTTAGAAGCTGAAGAATTGGGGACTTTTTTTTTTTGGTGTTATCTGTCAGCCCTCACCCCAAGGTAGACTTCTGTTCTCATTTCATTTTTGGAGACTTTGCAGCTGAAATGCTGCATTGTCCCTTTCTGAATCACATGTAATTGCAACATATGTATGCAAGAATTCACTCCATTTCAGTAGGGATTTTTTAAGCTAACGCCATTTTTAAGCTAAAGCCTATTACGGTTTTTGATGGAACAACAACAATAAAACAGATAAAGGAGGGAAACAGAATGGAGGGAGATGACCTAAAACTTCTCCTAAACACCATTATATGATACAGATTTTTAAAGGTTTTATAGACAGAGATGGCATTTACTTCCACTGCACCTTTTACATTTTAATCTAAATAAGCATTGCCCTAAAGCAGGAAAGGAAATTATTCTTCCTTTTGATAGTCTTTGAAGTAAATCTTTCAATATGTTCCTTAAGTGTCTTTATTTCTTATTTTACCTTTGCAAGGCAGATATTTCTACCTCTCAGGCACTTCAGGCTTTTTATTTGTCTACTGTATGAGAGTGCCCCAGCTTGGAGAGCATCTGTCAGCACTGGAACAAGGGCATTTAGAAGGAAGCTTTTTTTCAGTGTAAGGAATGTGGACTCGAGCACTGGGTTTTGCAGTTAATCACATAAATTAGATGAAAGCTTTGCTTCCAGGAATATGAACAGAAGAGAGGCTAAGATATGTATATACATGTGTATGCATATCACACAGAATCACAGAATTTTATGTTGGAAGAGACCTCAAGATCATGGAGTCCAACCTCTGACCTAACACTAATGTATATAAACACACACATTATTTATACTTCTATGCATAATGTATTTATTCAAGAGCTATTCTTTCTTTCACTGGAGCAAGGGAATTCTCCCATGGATTTTATTTTGTACAACAGGGGCGCTATTACAACAATTTAAAAAAAACACTGGGGCCTTGGCTGAAGTGTTTAAGCATCTGATAAGCCTGTTGAATTCATGGGACTTCTTCACATCCTTCGAGTTTGGCATGTGTGTAAATACTTTTCTGCAGCAGGGTCATAAGACCTCAATTCAGCTCTTGTTAAACTCAGTGGAAAGATTCCTTTTGATTTTAAAAGCAGTTGGATGCATTTGCACGCTGTCTTTTCTATGCGAATGCAGAGCGAGCCAGCCGTAATGCAGGAACATGTGGTACATGTTAAAAGTTGTAGAGGTTGTGAGCAGTAGCAATTTTCCACTGACAACATTTATCCAGACTGATTAAAAGATATGACTGAAGAGGCATTTCTTGATGGGCAGGACATGGCGAGCACCTTCCAGACAGCACTGTGCAGAGCTAGCCCCAGCAGGAGGGTGCTGGGGGAGCCCAGGAGGACAGCTGAAGATCAGGTCATTATTTGGACATATCAGGGAGGCAGCTGTGCTGTCACACCCCATGTACACCTGGGAGCATGAGGGGAACTCCTACTGTGAGGAGCTGACGGCAGCCGGGGAGGAAGAGCAGCATCCATCCATCTCAGAGAGTGGGACTTGGCACCTGTTGAGGCCAAATTTCTGGTGAAGAAACAACACGCTGAGAGTTGCTCAAGCAAATGTAAAACAATTGCTGCTTTGACACGTTGACACGAAATCAGCTAAACAGGCTTTGTTTATAATTATGTTAAATTATCTCAAGCAAATTGCTCTGGTTTAGATTTCTACCACTCCAGAGCTGATGGGCATCAGCAGAGGAGGTGTGGTAGAGAGATGTGTGAAGAGGCATCCCCGAGAGGTGTGCCACATCAATCTTTTGTGCTGAGAGCTGGGTGGGGTGTAGGACAGTGAGGTGATACCATACCAGCTCACACTTCCAGCTCCTGGAATGGTATTTCTGGACATTTCCTTGGCAAGAAAATCTGGAGGAAACATGGAGAAGGCAATGCAGTTGTAATGGGATGGCTCAGTAAAAATGATGAAAATCACAGGTAAATGATATCTCTGCAGGGAGACATAATTGCTTACGGCTTTTGCAGTAAATGGATTGCAAGAAGTCCCAGATGAGTAATCTACGGAGATAATTAAGAACTGGAACTGCCTGAATATATTCATCAATATGGGGGAACAAAGAGAGAAAAAAATCATTCTGTTTTGACCCATTCTATTGGCAATTACAGAAGCAAGAAATGGAGATATTTAGTCTGGCTAATGTAAAGAAAACTGTTCCAACTGATTTAATGCCATAAAGTATTAAATAGGAATGAATGGCAAACCTCTCGCTTTGTGTTGCATTCAAAGCAAGACTCAGCAAAATTGAAAAATAGAATGTAGAATTTGGCAAAGAACGAGAAATGAACCAATATAATTTAAAGGTGGTTGATATCCATATTTCATCAAGGAATCTGCTAAGTTTCTGTAAATCCATTTAGGTAAATTCTAAGTATCTATCTTGACTATCTCTACTTGACTTTTGGGTATATATGGCACTCTTTCAGGCTGTCTGTTTCCCTCACCTTATCCTGTAGGACTTCAGTTCTGTTTAGGAGAAAATTCTTCTTTTTCTCAGTTGAATAAGCACCCTTTGGTACTGTCTTTTTGTTTATGAAAATGTTTTTGGTCTTTCATACTGCCTTTTCCATAATCTCATTGCTCTTGTACTTCAGCTGTTTCTCAGTGCTTTATGACAGCCTAGCTCCAACTGATATAAAAATATGAGTTCGTTTCCTCAACAATTTTCCTAAATGTTTTGCTTCAAAACATACAATAACATATAATTTGATTCCTTTTTAGTACAAGGCTCGAAGTTTTTGCCTCCATACGGGTGGAGGATAGGAAGGTCAAAAGACAAATGTATATTGCTCTCCTTTTCCTCCCAGCAGTCTTTTAAAACAGAAGACCTAACAAAAAATGTAGCCCTTACCAGAAGAATAGGAGGAGGAGTTGGCAACAAGGGCACCTGCTTGCTGCCTGTGTGTACATCCCCTACCCAATCTTTTCCATCTGTCATGGACCCACAGTGTCAAGAGTCAGCATCCATCTTTTGTCCCCGTTTAGTGCTCCTTCCAGCCTGCTCCTATTGTTCCATTTCCTAATTGTTTCAAGTTTCAATTAGTTTAGCTGGAACAATATGAGGTATCTGGTAGGCTAACAATCTCAGGTAGTGATGTTGTGTAATGTTTCCTTAATTGCCTTGGTAGAATTACTCTGTTTATTTTGTTACTCAACTAGAAATGATAGGCCATTTAAAGTTTAGAAATTTGGTTGATAAGTGAGAAGATAAAAGTAATAATATTGCCTACTAGACAGGGTAATCTAAAACGGCATGGACTAAAGAATAGCTATGCTACATAATCATGCTGGGCAGGAGGAGGAGTCCAGCATTTTTATTGCCCAGATTTGATGAGATTTGATGAGGCAATGAGGTCCATTTTCACTTCAAGGGGGGCTGATCTCTTTTCTCTCTTCCTTTCTCCCCTGGGTATGTTACACATTTACATAAAGGTGTTATACCAGCACTGCAAAATGCTGCTACAGATATGGATAAATAAAGATCTTTAAACCTCTGTGAAGATGGCAGCAGTGTTTACCCACTTCATACAATGGAAGGAAATTAGTGGGTTGCAAATGAGGCCATTGCAAAGGTGGGGCTCGAAACCTCGAGTTTTTAGGACCTGGCCTGTGCCTGTGTTTGGCAAGGAAGGGTTTCTTGTTGGATGTTGTATTCATGCTTAGCCATTCCCAATCATACTTTTAGTTACAAGTATTTAAATAATTAATATTTAAGTTTTGTGAACATATGTTCTTTTGGCAATAGGGAAATGATATATAGCTTCATTGTACTTAACTGAGGTTTATTCTTCTAGTGTGAGGTGCTAGTAAACTGGCTGTGGGTCTAACTTTTTGATAGTGATACTATCACTGGTAAATCTGACTACCTTGAGAAGAATAACAAACCTGAATCCCAAATTTCTCCTGATGTTTCTGAAACCCCCATTTATGCTTATATTGTCAAGTTCTCTCAAAGGTGCACCATTATGTGCCATACTACGGTAAGGTCAGAAGCTTTAGAGCTAGGCAGTGGTATTTCAGCAAGCTGTGAGATCCTGCAGCATTGCTCTACAAGGCAGATGGAGGCTCAGTGCAGATTCCTCCCCTCCCTCTCTCCCTCTGACTTGGTCTGTATCCTCACACCTTGGCAAAATTTCATGGGGGAAATAAAGAAAAGAAAAAAAAAAACATTTTATATTTTGACCAGCTTTATTAGGAATGACAGAAGTAAGAGAAGGAAGTTATTTATGCTGCTTGATGCAGAGCCAGCATCCTCTTGGCAAAATACTTCAACTCTGCCCTCAGGACAGCAGTGTAGTTATATGCTGGCTAGTGAACTACTGAAAGCAATCAAACCCACCCTTGCCTGGGAGGAGAGACAACAGAGACCTACAGGAACCACAGTATGGTCTGCTAAATGTGCTTCATTATGCATTTGGGTTAATTCGGCCTTTTCATTTCTCTGCTGCACAGCTGACATGTCTGATGATGGGAGACCAGCTATGCAAGCACTGAACAAGAAAGAGTAATACCCAGGAGCCAGCAGGGCTGCTCCAGTTCCTTGGTATTCCTAGGAGAAGGGGGAGAGTAGGAAACAGGGAGGGGAAAATTTTTCAGATAAGCATGTTGAAAGGTTGAAAACAGGGAGAAGTCTGCTTTTCTGCTCAAAGTTTACTCATTGATAGGGACTCAGTTCTTGGCTACTTCTGCTTCTTGGCTGCATCTGTTTAGAATTTGTAGAGCTTTATGCTCTGCTTTTGCAAATTATAATGTCAAGTGGGGAAAAATGGTAACTATCATGATGCTTGCAGGAGATGACATCTGTTACCAGTATCTTGCATAGGCTTTTATTTAGTTCTGTCATCAGGATTCCTCATGATTGCTTCAGTGTTGTCAACATGTGTATGCACACACACATGCATGCACACAAACTCTCTATCTGGTTATGTAGCTCTCTTTATACAACAGTTTTCTTTATGTTACTGACACTTGGTAGGAATAACATCGTGATTTCACTTTCTTCCAATACACTGCTAAAAATAAATCTCACTTTACAAGGAGAAGCATTATATCAAAAAAGACCCTCCCGGCTCTACACCATTGAAATTCCTTATCTCATGAACATGAGATATTTTCCGTTTTTAAAATAGCCAAAAATTGTCTGAGAATTTTGCCACTCTTTGTTAGAATTGACCTCACACACTTATGAATTCTCCACTTTTTTACCATTTCCTTTTTTGTTTTCACTTCATGACATTAAATGCTCTGCAGGGTTGCTTTGCTGTTTTTACTGGACAGTCAATTTTTTGTTTGTGCTATTCTTACGCATACCAACAGGAAAGAAAAAATCTTTTGTAGTGGGAAGATGGGGCTTTGACTGATAAACCACAAACACTACCAAGAACGATTCAAGGAGAGGTGTTGTGCATGAATTTGTTCAAATCTTATTTAAACTAGAGTTCAGCAACAATTTGCATTTTTCTGACTTTGATGCAATGTGATTTCAGTTCCTGTCATAGGAGAAATAATATGCAAGCGGAAGGTTGTGATGTTTCTTTTCCAAGCTTATATTTTCCTAGGCCAAAGGCAGTGAACTTTAAAGTGTATGTTGGTGTAGTTCCTCCCCAGATCAGATAGCAGCTTTTGTCATGAATTCGGAAGGTATTGAGATGGCTTTTAAAAATATATACAGAAAAAAATAATCTTTTTTGGACATGACAGGCTTGACTGATTAACCTTTATCTTAACAAACGTTGTGGGAGTATCATTTGGTTTTAATTAGGATTTTCAAAATTATATAGCACGTGTAAAGAAATTAATGCAAGCTTCCTTTATAAAGGTTCCATAAGGGTAATAACATGATCCTTCTTTTTTTGCCCCTCTCTTCTTCTGTAAGATTTTAGAGAAATTAAAGCATCCTAATTGCTGATAAACAGCATGTGATATTCATTCAGAACCAAGACTAAAATTTTAAAATCTGATCCCTGAATAGCATCAGCAAAACAGGACCTGGTGTTCACTCTTCTCTCCCTGTTTTTAATTATGAAGTTTGGGTAAGAGGCAAGTTTTAATTATGCTGTGCTGTAGTTCTGAATAATGCATTCAGCTACACTCTCAGGCATCATAAATTAATGTTCTGTTGAAATCAGTGAAGCTCTGTGTCCTGGGAGCAAGATTCAGTTGCCCACATGTGTCTGGTGCCATCTGATGCCCTCAAGTAGCCTGGCCTCTGGCTGTCCTTGCAGAAGGGTACCTGCCTCCCTCCCATAAGTCCTCTGTTACAACTGCCAGCTTAAAGAACACTACACCTATGGTCAGTCACCATTCCAGCCCTGCCTCCTGAAAGCATAATTTATAGCCTTTTGAAATCAGAGAGAAGGAATGAAATGCCTTCTGGAGCAACTCTGGGGACAGTTCTTGCACTGATTTTTTAATTAAAGCCACCTGTCCTTTCAATCTATGTCTATTTCTACTTGACAGCAATTTCTCTTATTTTTATTGCTCTTTTTAAGAGCACTTAGAGGGTAAGTGCTGGCAAAAAGCCTGACCTACAATCACCAAGTAATGCCATCAAGGCCGATGTATTAATTGTCTTGGCTAACCTGTAAGGTTAATAGGGAGATGCTCTTAGCTAACTGTGTCATATCCTCATTAATCCATAATGCTGGAACATAGCAAAGGTTTGGGAATATTCCTGAGTACAGTGCAGAGGATATAGTAACGAGTTTCTTGCCGTCAGTGGAGCAAGAAGAATTAATAAGCTTTAAAATTGCTATTCATTTTTTCTTCTGCTAATATATTTTCCTGGTGTCTCCTCCCACTCTCTGTGTAAGTTTTAATGTTGGAATAGTCAGTATAAGAGGATAACTTTTTGTGTTCTTTCTGAAAATAACAAGGACCAGGTGATTAAAAGAAAAAAATAATTAAAAAAGGGAAGACCCTTGCCTAATAGATGGGACTTCTTTTGTCTCCTAGGAAAAGTCTCCTGGGATAAATTCTGAAAAAATTATTTCGTATCCTTTCCTATGCTTTTTTAATATAAATATTAATTGCTTCAGTACTGGATATATTTGCTCTTTATGAAAATGCAATTATTCTTTCAGTTTATCTAGACTTTTTTGGCCTTACTGACATCCTGGAACAATAAATTCCAAGATCAAATTGCATAACAAGATTTATCGTTCCCTTCCTGATACAGGTGAATGCCTCATTGTTCTTATTTCATATGACAGAAGATAGAAACTTAACTTCTCTAAAGCTTTCTAAGGCATATAGTTCAAAGTTTAGTAGCTGTTGCAATTTTCAGAATTTTTAAATTTCAACTATTATTTTCTGTCTGTCTTCTCTCTCCAAGTCTCCTCTAACTGCACTCTCCACTCATACTTCATTACTCATGAATGATAACAATTCATTATATTTTTCATTGTTATTTTTTGACTGGCTTGTACCCCAGTATTTTTTTATTCACTAGTTGAGTGGTTTATAGATTTCCATGGAACTTGGTTTTGTATTTGATCTCATTTAGGATCCTGGCATCCTTTCCCATGCTGGGAAAACAGCATGCTGAATAATTGTTTGAAACTTGTCACCAATGTTTGCCATATGTTTTCTTGTTTTTTACCTGTTGATTTGGTAAAATTCTTGACTATGTTCAGATACTCATTAACCTAGCTTTATATCAATGTCAGTATAACCCTGACATACATGAATAGGTATTTCAGCATTTGCCGATGAAAACTGCTTATCAAGGAGTTAATAGATGATGCGTGGGTAAAATTCTGCCCATATAACTTTTTAAAGCTTGTGGTCTTTGGTTTAAGCACTTAAAATCACATAGTTTCTCTGTCCATCTTCAACAAATAAATGAATACAGGTATCTTTGCCAACTAATTAGAGACTTTGTCCCCCACTATAGAGCAGTATTACCAAATCTCTGTATTCATTCTCAGTTTGAAAGGGCCAGGTACCTTGTGCTTGCTGGAGGACAGCCACACCAAGCTGCTGATGGAAGGGGATGCAGAGCTGAGAGTGGTGCCCCCATGTGCTGTGTGCCAGCTCAGCAGAACCACCAGGCATCCCTGAGGAACAAAGGGATGCTTCAGGATTACACAGGCCTGACAGAAACATTTGGCTTCCAGTTGGGCCCAGTTGGCCTCATTTAAGTGCTTGCCTTATTCATATGAGCAGCACTAGAGAGATTCCTTTCTTTTGTCCATATCCTGCAAATGTTCTTTTTAGGCCTTGCAAAAGCTCAACAAATATTAAACAGGATGACTAGAGGTGAACTCATGCATTTTCAGGACCTGTCCTCTGCTATCACAGTAAGCAACTTATGATTTGACCTCAAACTCAAAGGAAAACTGTTTTTGTGCTCTTATTAATGCTATAAAGTATCACTCTGATGGTAAAAACTTTTCTCTAATTTACTACATTTCTTTCTTTACAGCCACTTTATTCCCATTTGCTTTCATGAATTTGTGGTAAATTATCTGAGATGATTTCTGTGACCTTCCTGTTTACCTTTTAGCACTGACAGTCAGCAGTTCTTATCTTGCTCATTTACCTCATGTGAACGGATAAAATAATTTCTATGACCTTTTCCATTTGATTGACTCAAATTTTCAGACATCTCAGCACCCATCTGCACCTATCCCAGATGGTATTCCTCTTTTCTCAACATGAAATGAGGTCTTAATGGGGGTTTAGACAGTGTATTAACTGAAATATCCCTTTGAATGCATGCTGGCATTGTATTTAGCTTTTTTTTTTTCCTCATGACAATAGCACAAATCCATCCTGAGAATGAACAATATATTATTACTCACTGCCAGTTCAGAGCATCAGTTCATAGCATAACTTGCACTTCAACAAACAAACAAAAAACCTAATTCCTTCTGCAAGATGTTTGTTAAGATCCTTTCCTGACAATGCATCCCAATTTGGATAATTTGTACATTATGTTGAGCTTGCTCACCAATGAAAACAATGAGGAGACTAGTCCCAAAATACATTATTTCTGAGTAATAAATAGATACCTCATATAACTGCCTGTGCATTCTGATATTGATTAGGCAAGAAGAATGCATGCTGAAGTGCCTAGTCAACAAATGCCACTCCACATTTACATTGCTATCAGTGATGATGTTGTACCAGTGCCAGAGATATCTGAGTCATGAGCAACTGTTCTGGAATCCATCAAAATCACTAGGCAGGATATTAATGTTACTAATTTTCTGTTTTTCATTCAGCATCTGATTGAGCCCCATTGTAAAGGCAGGAACACTGAGGGAAGCTAAGAAATGTGTTTTTCCCAAAGCTGTAGAGCATCACTGAAATATAGGCAGCATTAATGACTCTGCCAGGTATACCCATCAGCCTACGTAAGCCTCATGACTGCAGATGACGTACCACATATTTGAACACAGCAACAACAACAATAAAGACATTTACTAAAAATAAAACTGGTTGTTGGCTAGCAAGGAGGAGTTAAATCACCCTAATTCAAGAGATACAGACATGGCCTCTCCCACTTGATTGAAAATTATTTACCAGCAAGAAAGAAAACTTATCTAATGGTCGAAGATGATTGCTTGTTCACCCAAGAATGCTTTCCTAAAGAGAACTTCAACCCTGCCCCCAGATAACCTTCCCTACGCTTGAGCTGTTGATCCTGGTTTCTGCACAACCACAGCAAGCAGAATGTGTCTTGGTGCCTCTGAGAAAGAGGTTTACCCCAGCTGCACAGCACATCTTCCCTAAGGACTGGGTAGGCAGCAGGCTAAATGCCTTCTTGTGGTCCCCTAGCCATCACAACATAAGCAAAATGTTTTTAATGTGTTTACATAATTATTTGCAAATTAATATATGTGAACTGTGAATTTTGTACTATTTCTGCATAGTTTAGTTGTGATGGGGAAATACTTTCTTCTTATCAGCTACTATTAAAAAAGGCTGTTATCTGTGAACATGAAACTTAAAAAATCAAGGAAGTTTTTTAGAAAGCTTCTAATGGGTATATTCTGCTCATCCATCTAACTACCCATACATCAGATAGCCAAGTACAAAGTATTTATAATGAATATTTGTCAGGTTTAGCCATTTCCCCCTTCTTTGTGAATTGTCTGGAAAAGGATGAGTTGTATGACCGGTGCTCATTTGCTGTTTCTAAGTGAAGGGTAGCATGTGGCTGAGCACATGATTGCTTTCAAGCTGTAAATTCCAAATACTGTGATCAGCATTGCTTCAAATGGGTGAGAGTTTGAATAGTAAAACTGGAGAATATGACTGGTCCTGTTTACAGGAATAAAGTTTTCCTGGTTTCAATTTCTTACATGAGCTTATCTTTGTCCTGCTTCAGGTCTCACATAGGTGGCAACAGGCGACTATTTTCCAGTAAATCTGAGTTGAGTGAATGAAAGTTTGGGTACTTGCTCTGAATAGCTATGAATTGCTATGAGTATGTGGTGACAATTCTTTGGAAGGTGAAAGGACAAGTATTTGCAGAGAAAAAAGTTATCTGCAGAAAAATTGGGATCTTAGGAGGTATGTGAATGGATTAACCTCACCAGGCAAAAGGAAGATAGCTGGAGTTTTGATTTTTTTTTTTTTTTTTTTTTTTTTTTTTTTTTTTCCTGTAGGATAGGAATAGAAGTGGGGCTTTAAAGAGAAACTTTGGAAATGCCAGGGAGCAGGACCTAGATTTTTTCATGGGTACTTTAACAGGGATTACAAGAACATTGGATGTGGGGGAAAAAGAATCCTAACTGCTACTGAATTGCTATTGAATTTCTGTAGCCTATTCCTCAAAAGGGTATGTTCATGTCAAGATGTGGGGAAGCCCTAGGGGTGCTGGTCCAGTGGAGAGTGTGGTGAGAAGAAGTTGGAGTCAGGTGTGCCATAGTCAAGTGAGCGGTATTTGTTGCCTTCATTAGATGCTGAACTCTATAAAACCTGGGCAGTGCCTTGGTTGTTAATTGCATGGATTGCGCCATTCAGAGAAAGCAAGGGAGCATTGTAAGGCAACAGTGATGAGGAGGCTTTCTTCCCACTTCAAAAACTCTATTTGCTCCTTTTCCATAGGAAAAATAAATGTATTATGCTATCAACAGAAATCCAAAATAGTGGAAAATACCTGGATTTCTTCCTAGCTGAGGGAGGAATTAGATTTATTGCCCACTTAACAGAACAACAATTATTATTATTATCATTTTCTATCCAGATTAATACTATTTGCATGTACGTGAACGTGAAAATGATAACCTGCCTAACCAAACTCATTCTATTTATCATCTCCATATGAGAGGTCTGCAGAGCATGGCTGGCGAGTGGATGTTGAAGGGTGTGCTTAATTTCTGTAGGCGGCAGACTCCTCTTCACTGCAGTGGTCAAGTGAAAGCAGATTTATGTCTGCTGGCAATCACAGCAGTGATTGCAAACCATGGGGTCATTGCATGTGTGCATTCCCACCAGTGACAGGAATGCCTGCACAGTCTCATCTTCATTCCTCTTAGTGCTGGGCCATTTCTTGACGGTTTTCCTTTTGAAAAGATCTGCTCTTGCTCTGCTCCCTGTGTGCGTCAGGGGTGTGTGAGAGCGCTCTCTGACAGCACCCACACAGCTGTGTGTGTGCATAGCACACCTCAGTCCCTGAAGCAGCTGAGTCTCCCTTTTGAATGTTGCAAAGTGCTCGGGAGGGTGCTTACTGCTTTGTTTGCTGAGCCATATTTAAAGAACAAACTTTCTGAGAGCTCAAGGAGTGTCTAAAATTGGCAGTCTCTCCCGCAGCATGCTGCATGCCGTGGGTGTCACCGCCGGGGCTCGCAGGGTGCCCAGCGGCAGTGAGACAGACAGACAGACAGACAGACCAGGGGACAAAGGGCAGCACTGCCTTTGATTTTCCGTGCTCAGCACTATGGTCACATGCTTCCTGTGGGCTTAAGAGCATCGAGTTGCGAATGGAAAATAGAGTGTCTCTTTTCTATCTCTAATGGTATTTTTATATGTTTTACATTAAGTTTCTTCCTGGTTACCATCTTATAATGGATAGGTGAGATACGTCAGCGTAGCACGAACTATTGTCGTGCAGTGAACTCTCTCTATCACTTAGCTGAGCCGAATAGCACATACCGTGTGACATCAGCAGCCCGGTGAGTCACGCAGCACAATACCATATATCCTGGAGATCAGAAATATCCTACGCAGAAGACTTGGCTTGTTTTTCCTATCTAGTTACGGAAACTACATTCACAGACTCTAATAGCATTAAACAACTGTAAATGAAGTCTTTCTGCTTCTTATCAGAAGATAAACTGCCTGTTTAAAAAAGGTGTTGCCAAGCCCGGGAAAGCCTCTAAAAGAGCACAGATTGCTGATTGCAGCTTTCAGGGAGAGATTTTGTACATAAAATATTTTAATATCGTTACAATGAACACCTGTGCTCCTGTTCTGGGTGAGAGTCCTACCAGTATGGAGCATCTGACATATCTGAAGCTTCAGATAGATAATGCTACAGATCCTCCCCCTTTTGCTAGAACACAATTGTAGATAGAGGAGTATTTACAGCACATTTATGACTTTTGTCCCTGATAAAACTCTGCAAGTCGTTTTACTGAAGGTATTTAACAAAACACTGTTTTCCTTAAATTCTCATGTATTCAAATACTTTGTTACACATCCTACCCCAGCACATATGTAGGATTATGACTTTCTCCTGCTTGCCTCTTTGATCTCCCTGATAACTTTTCCATCAGCGTAAAATGTAGTGCTTGGTTCAGCTGCTCTTCCACAGCACACAGAAATGGAGGAGGCGTTAGGGCGTCTGCTGAAGTAGGATGGAATATTTCCACCCTGACAATATATCAGAGGGAAAAATAGGGGGAAGAAAACTTGAATATTGAGCATTATGGACAATTGGCTGCCCCTCAAAAGACTTGGTGGTTTAATTGAGAAAAAAAAAATTGCTTGATTCTCCAAAAACCTGGGCTAAGAATCTTATAAAAACAGGCTCACTCAGGAGATTTCTGGAATTTTCTATTTCACGTCAAAAAAGAAAGAATGAAAAAAGAAACACAAAACAACAACCCT